TATTACCTCATGCGCACTCGCTGTTGCTGCAGTCGTTGTCGTCATTTTGTTTGGCTCAAGCGTGTCAAATGATCTCAGCACTTTTGCTGCCCCTGAGTTGTTCCGCATCGGCCCTGCCGGCGCGTGCGACGGCCGCGTCGCACAGTCACGAGCACCCGCCGAACTTATGGTACGCGCGCTTGCTGTCCTTCGCCCTGCCCCGCGAGCACGCGCCCGACCCCGCCTCGTTGTCCTCGGAGGAGCTGGAGGCTCTCCTGGGAGCGGTTCCCCAGCACCGCTGGCCGGGCCCGCGCGGCGAGAGAGTCGGCGGCGAGTCGGCGGAGAACGGGGGCCCAGATTTCAGTCGGGCATGTCCTCCTACAGGCGGGTTTGGGAGGAAACTGAAACAGGTTGAGACATGCTCCAAGATACTCACGCCATGCTAAGAGAAACCGTCCCCATATATTATGTTTGTATGACTTTTTGGAATACCCCATATTATTTGTGTGTTGACTTTTTTTTGGTTTTTGAAAACTCCTCCTGTTGAGGGACAGGCCCGACTGAAGCCCAGATGGTGGCGAGGGCGCGGCGGACCGCGTGGCAGCAGCGACCGCGGCCGGGGCCGGCGGCCGCGCCCAGGAGTCGACCAGACGTAAGTCAAGCAGTGGCGAAGCGTCCCGGCTCGCCTATAGCCCCGCCAAGCAATGTTTTAAGAACCTTTTGTGGTTCCCACGAAATGTTCTTAGAGCATATCTGGCCGGGACTGTCACTGTCTTGTCTTCACACATCGGGTTTATGCTCTAAGGACATGGTTTTTGTTCTCGGAACATTTTCGGGTTCTAAGAACATTTCGTGGTATGACTATAGGAGTGCCGGGACGGTCGATCCCTGCTCAAGTACGAGTGACCCTTCGCCGGAGTGACCTTTGGTGCGGGCCCATTAGGGCCCCTCGACCGCCGATTGCGATCCGACAGTAGCGTCCCTTGCACGCTCGTGGTCGGCCCCCCGTGGCCCCGAAGAAGCCTCGCATCAAAGGTCCCTCTTGCCCACTGTCACTCTTGCGTGTATCGGAGGTGGATAGACCTCCTACCCTGACACGTCGATCAGCGAATTGGCCGTTTTCGGTTCGCGAGAGGGCGTTGCGGCTGTCATTTGTGCGGGTCCAGGTCCCTCGGTTTCGGTCCTAGGCCGTTTTCACTAAAGGGTGGTTTACTAAAGAAAGGTTTGTCCACCGCCGAGTGTAGCCGACCAGGAGCAGCTCGGCCAGATCTGCCTGAGGCTGGCCACCGTCGTCGCCCTCCTTCGGGAGGGGCGCGCCAGGGACCCCGCCGGCGCGGCGCGCCGCGTGTACGGGCCTCGGGCAGAGGGTTCCGGGCTTGACGTGGAGGCCGATTGACGCAGAGAAGCAAGGCATCCGCATAAACGTTCGGAGGTCTGCACGGGTTTCTTGATGGGCGGACAGCACACACCCAGACCCAAAGGGGGAATGTGGGGAGGAGGACTGGCTAATGGGTGTGGGTGCGGGTTGTCGAGCCTGGGGGGCGCTTCCTTTCGAGCGGGGGCCTCCATCCGACACCACGCACCCATAGCCCCCTCCGTCCCACCTAGGGGTATGTGCGCGTGCTGTTCGTTCATCATGTCTTGGATCGCCGCCAGCGCGCCCTTCCTGGCGCGCGGAGCATGCCAGGGGCGGCGCCAGGAGCGGCGCCGGAGGCACCGCCAGGGTGTGTGTGGGGGGGTCCAGCGCCGATGCAGGAATTCCTCGCGGAGCTCCCACAGCGTATGCTTGTGCCTGTTTGTCTGCTTCTGGATTGGCACGCGCTGCTCGCCTCTCCGGGCTGGGCCTGGCTGGTCGCGGGAGAGGGGCAGCGCTGGCCCGTCTTCGCTCTGCTCGCCGAGCTCTGGGAGGCCTACGGCCCGGAGCGTGCGCGCGCGCGGCTGCCGGAGCCCTCGGACGCGTCCGAGCGTCGCTTCCTCGCAGGTCCGGGGCGGGAATGTATTCATGACCACCGCCTGGAGGGTGAGTTTTCGGAGCCTCCGCAGGCGGCGGATATGGACGTATTCGGGGCCCCAGGGGCCGAACTACATATCCATATCCACCGCCCGCTGGGGCACCAGGGCGTCGGTTCCCAGGCGGTGGATGTGGATAAATCCCCGCCTCGCAGCAGGCCTTGAAGCTCGAAGGAGAAACAGCTCCATAGGCATAAACTCTCGGAGGTCCTGGTGGATTTCTTCGATCTGCGCTGGCCCACCCTGGCGGTTCCTCTGGCGCCGCCCCTGGCGCGCTCCGCGCTCCAGGGAAGGGGGTCCAGTGCCGACTTCAGAAATCCCCTCGAACCTCCGACAGCTCATCCTTATATTGCTGTTTTGTTCCTCCAGAAGCACTTGGGCCCGCGGATCGCCGGGCCGCGTGGCTGAAGAAGGGCACGAGTTTGTTGGCACCAAGCTGGAGGCGCCCGCAGAGGGGTGGCACAAGGAGGGGGGCAGGCGTCTCAGCTGGCGCTGGGGCTTCTTAGAAGGTGCGGTCGGTTCATGCGGCGATGGCGCGACAGCGACGCGAGCGAAGGCGTTTGAGGTTGAATCCTGCGACGCGGAAGCACCGATGGGGCACTGTAACGCCTCTGGGCCCGACGGAAGTCAACCGTGCACGATCCGGGCCGCGATCGATTCAAGGTTGAACGATCGACCCAGTGTCGAAAACAATCGCGGGCTGCGAGGTGACGAGGGCTGCAGAAAAGGTGCTCTTTAGGGCCCCTGAAGGTGCCCTTCAGGGCCCAAAATGGGGCTTGAATGGCCCGAGAAGTGCAGCTTTCTCCCCCCCCCATATATCGCCCCTCCATGAAGCGACGCCCAATGGGGATTCCTGGAAGGTCCCAGAGGCTTCCAAGCGGGCTTCTCAAAAGCCGCCTGGCCCCTCCAAGAAGGCCTCTGCCTTCTAAAAAGGTCCCCCGCCTTCTCAGAAGCCCAGTTCCCTCGCGCCAGCCCCTGTGGGCGACCCAACCCGGACCCCGACGTCATGAGTTTCAGTAACGTGGATTCCCAGGGGTCTGGACCCCTTCCTGGGGACCAGCTTTCGTCTTGTGACGGCCCGGAGGCCCCATGTAGGGCCCGTTCCCAGAGGCCGAACATAGTGAACAATTTCCCGACACCGGACGGGGCTTGGACGAGGAGAAATCCGTTCCAGAGCGTTCTGGAACGCTCTCAGAGCGGTCAGGAACGCTCTGAGAAGGCCGCGGCGCCCGAGACAGCTTGCACAGCCGCCATATCTGAGAGATTCGCGATACATCCTCACCCGGGTTTGTCCTCGTCCTGGCTTCCCAGACCCCCGACGTCGTGATTTTTTCACGGCGTCGACCCCCAGAGGTATGGTTTCTTCCCCGAGGCGTTTTTGTTACGGTCCCAAGGCCCGGTAAGGGCCCCTGGAGGCCGAAAATCGCAAAACAACCTCCCGCCGTGATTTTTCTCGACGACGCGAGGAGGTCTGGGCTCGTCTCAAAGTGGTTGGCCTGTTTTCCACATCCACCACCAGAAGTTGGAGGCGGAGGGGGCCCTCCTCCTCCTCCTCCTCCTCCTCCTCCTCCTCCTCCTCATCCTCCTCCTTCTCCTCCCCCCCTCCAACTTCTGGTGGTGGCGGTGGAGAGCAGGCCCATCCTCAACGCTGTCCTCGTGACCCGAGGGGTCCGGGCACCCATGTGGAGCGCCGCGGAGATGCACCGGCGGGCCGCTGGGCCGCCGGGCCCGCTCGCCGTTGCCGCGCACTGCCTCGCCACGGCCTTCAACGCGCGCGCGGTGAGCCCCCGGCGGGCGACGTACAGGTCAACTCCTCCTCCTCCTCCTCCTCCTCCTCCTCCTCCTCCTCCTCCTCCTCCTCCTCCTCCTCCTCCCTCCTCCCTCCTCCCTCCTCCCTCCTCCCTCCTCCCTCCTCCCTCCTCCCTCCTCCCTCCTCCCTCCAACCATGCCACAAGTGCCTCGTGAGAGGACCATGGCACTTTGCCTCGGCTTGTCTCTTTGGCCCTCGTCCAGGTGTAGCAGGGTCCCCTTGGTCCCTGTGTGCCTGTGAGGGGCCACACGGAGGTGGGTCTCTGCTGTCTGGTCTCGGCTAGCGCCCAGGCACACCCACCTCCCCGCCGCGGCCGGCCCGTACAGGCCTTTCAGCTGCAACGTCCGCCCTGCAGCACGGCAATGCCATTCTGGCCCTTCTTCTTCCCTCTCTCTATCAAGCCTCCTCCCTCCCCCAATGCGCTGCTCAGCAGCAACAAGGCGGTTCGACCGCCCACGGCCATTTTGGCCCTCCGTCCAGCTCCTTCTCTCTCCGCACGGTCTACTTAATTTGGGTAGGCATTCCCAGGCCAGATACTTCTTTTCTAGCCCTGCACTGCTCTCTGCCTCGAGGGCTGCCCTGCTATGGGCAACGGAGCAGGGCCCCGCTGATGTCTCTCTTCGCACGGCGCTGCAAACTCCTCCTCTCTCGTATATGATCCCTCTACTCCCCTCCCGCAGCGCCAATACCTCTCTCCCGACAGTTTTCGGGACGAGAGCGGAAGCAGTTCAGCGTCCATGCTCTCGGGTTTCTCGTGTGCAGCCTGTGCCAGTCCTGTTGGCCGCTGCGCTCAAGCTAACTTGCAACGAGCCTAGTACAGTCAAAAAACCTCCCTCCAACTCCCTCCTTCTCCCTATGCTCCTCCTCCCTACTCCTCCCTCCTCCCTCCTCCCTCCTCCCTCCTCCCTCCTCCCTCCCTCCTCCTACATCCTCCTCCCTCCTCCCTCCTCCCTCCTCCTCCTCCATCCTCCTCCCTCCTCCTCCCTGGCTCGCCTAAAGGCCTTCCAATGAATGTTCGAAGAACCTTTCGTGGTCTGCCCGCAATGTTCTGAGAGCATTTCTGGCCGAGATGGTCCTGTTTCAGCACGTTGGGCTTATTTTCCAAGGCCATGGCTTTGGTTCTTGGACCGTTTCTGGGTTCTAATAAAATTTCATGGTAGGCCTATCGGAATGCCGGGACAATCGGTTCCTGCTCAAATAGGTATTTCGCGTACACCGCGCTCGCACCGGTGACGAACGCGAGTCCCTCATATCCAGATGAGGAAAAAATGGTGCCCATACCTCTACCTTTCCCTCGCTGTTCTTCTTTTCTGGGCCTCCTGGGAGGCTCTCGTCGCTACCTCTGGATTCGCCTCGAAGTTCTGGTCAGAACGCACCCTGGGAGAGGTCGGGGGAGTAGCGGTATCGGTACCGCTTGTTTTCCCCGCATTTGGTAAAGCTTCGGGTTGCGCACATCTAGACCTCCCAGATGGGGTCAGAGTAGATGGGTTCAGAGGATCGCGCCACATCTCCGATGCATCTCCGATGCGACTCGATGCGGATCCCAATTTTCTCCACGCCGACGGCACCGATACATCGCTGACGTCGCCGACGCATCGGCGATGCATCGGCGATGCGGCACGATCCTTCGACCCCCACTACTCGGACGGACCCCGTCAGACTCGGACCTCACCTCGGAGGCCTCCGGCATAGGCGGTCCCCGAGGGACTGAGCTGGCCTCAGCTCCCTCGCGCCGCCTCTGGCGGCGCCCCTGTGGCTTAGCGGGCCCTGGAAACGACAGGGCCGTTTTGTTACCGGTTCCGTTTTGCCGTTTTTCTGCCGGTTCCGACGCCGTTTTTTTACCAGTTCCGTCGGCGTTGTTTGACCGGTTCTGGCTCCGGTTCCACTCCTGGAGCCGTTTCTGTTGCCGTTTCCCGTCGCCGTTTCTTTGCCGCTTCCATTTTCAAGGTACATTTATTTGGAAGCGGTGACAAAACGGCCCTGCCGTTCTCCGGGGCCCACAGAGGCCTCAGCTCCCTCGCGCCGCCTCTGGCGGCGCCCCTGGGGCACTCCGCGCCCCAGGGGGTTGGGGCGCTGAGGCCGCCCCGGACTGCTCGGGGGGCCTGCTGGGCCCAGCCGCGGAGCCCGAAGCCTTGCGTGCCTCGTCGGACGGCCGCGCGTCTCCGCTGCGATGGCGCCGCTGGGCGCCGGGACAGACGGTGGCCGCTGGAGCGAAGCCGTTCCCTCGGTTCATGGCTCCAGGCTCGGGGGCGGAAGAGAGGGGGGTGATGACCTCCGGGGGGTGGATGTCTTGGCGGGGGCCATGACATTTCCCCAGGTTTCGTGGCGCCTCTTCGTGTTTCATGACGTCCCTTGCCCCCCCGCTGGGCCGCGCACATGCCGCCGCTCATGATTTGCACCCCCCCCTCTTGGACACCCCCCTCTTGGCAGCTCCTGACAGGCTCGACCCTGTCCAGCAGCACAATGGCCGGGATTCATGAGGGCCTCGAGCGGGCTTGCTGGGCTCTGCGCGTGTCGCAGACATCGGCAGAGCAGGTATTCGATCAAGTAAGAAACGGCACCACCCCACCTACGGCATTCCGTGTTGCGCCACGACCCATCGGAGGCCTCAGCGCATTTCACGAACAAACCCACGCCAGATGTCCTGGCATACGCTAAGCCCCGTGGGGCCGTAGGTGGGATGGCGTCGTCTGTTTTTGTTTTCTGCTCCAGGTATTCAAGAGCCGCTGGCCACTTCTGCCGCTGCTCGCCGAGCTTCACGCCTCGATGCTGCTGCACGCGGAGCTCGGATCGGCCTGGGGAGTTCTGGCGGACCTCGCGGAGCTCGGCTCGCAGGAGCGGCCCACCAACGTGGTCGAGGTCGGCGCACACGACGGGCTCGACGCTGTGAACGCATCTCGAGGAGCAGAGACTGCATGAACATGCGCTTGCGGAGGTCCTCGCGGATCTCTTGCATCGGTGCTGGACCCCCCTTCGTTGCGCGCGGAGCGCGCCAGGGGCGGCGCTGGAGGCGCCGCCCAGGGAGCCCGGCGCCGATCCAGGGGAGCCGGTCGATCCGCGCGCGGAGCTCCGAGAAGTGAGGTTCACGCGGCTGCCTGCTCCTCCGGCATTGGCGCAGCTGGGCTCGGAGAGGCGGGGGGCTCAGCTGCCTCGATGCGCCCGTCCTGGAGCGCAGCACGTGCCGTGCTCAAACATCGACCGTGTCGGCGCGCCGCGCGTCGGCTCGGCACGTGTTGGGCCGCGCTTCGGCGAACCATCGCGCCGAACGCACGTCTTCCATCTGCGTGTGGAGCTCCGCGTCCGCACGCCATACATGTGGTGTGCTGCGCATCGCGGCAGCCAAGGCTGGGGGTCTACGTGGGGCTGGAGCCGCACCCCAGGCCGGGGCTGGACCTCAACGCTGCGTTGCTGGACTTGGGCCGTGTTCTGTTCTTCGTGTTATGGGAGGGGGGGTACAGGAACACATGCAGAGCAAAACGAAGAACAAAACGAAAGCATGAATTCGGGCCTGCCCCTATACAGTGGGAATATCAAACAATAGTCAAACAATAGTCAGAACTATTTGAGTATGTTTTGACACTTTGGAGTATGCTATTTCCCGACTTGACGAAAGCAGCACGAGCAGCAAGACGAAGAACAGAGCGAAACCCAAACGAAACGCAAAACGTTTAGCGTCCAGCCCCGCCCCAGGCTCTACGAGCGGGCGCAGGAGCGCGTGCGCCAGTGGCTCGCCGCGGCGGCGCCGGGCGCGGGGCGGGCGCCCTTGGTGCAGCTCGTCTCTCGGGGGCGACGAGGGGGGGCGGGCAGTCCAGGGGGGAGCAGTACACAGGAGGAGAAGAGGAGGAGGATGGAGGAGGGAGGAGGAGGAGGAGGAAGGAGGAGGGAGGAGGAAGGAGGGAGAAGGGATGTCGGAGACTGGAGCATGTACGCATTGTTCATTTCTAATGTTTGAAAGTTCCTTGATTTTTTTGGGGAGGGCCAGGATCCTTTCATTTCTCATTGTGCTATCCTGGGCCTCTTCCTGGCCACTGGAGGGCCAGGAGCAATTAGAAACGAGCACAACTAGAAATGAGCCCGATTAGAAATGAACGACGTGTACATGTCGGAGACTGGAGCATATACTACCAGTGGCGCGCTGTTGTTCAGTCCCAGGACTTCTTCAGAGTCAGGGGCGACGTCGAGGTGGTGTGGTGTATACTTTCTCTTCCGTATCCCCGGGGGGACAGCGAAAAATGTATACACCAGGGTCCCGTATACAACAGGATTCGCTTTACTGTGCGAGTTTCAGTGCAGCGCCGGAAAATGCGCCACTGTATAGAGGTAGGTTCCTTATACATGTATCCAGGGGCGCCGATGATCCATGCCTTCGGCGGGGCTCACTGGCGAGTACGTGTAATGCCCGCCCCTGGGCTATTCGCCCTTGTCGTCGCCGCCGAGTCCTCGGAGGAAGGGCGGCTGCACGGGCAGACGCCGTCGGAGCTCTCCGCGCGGACGTTTCTCGGGGGGATCCCACGGGCGGCAAGGGCTCACGTCGACGCTTCCGATCCGCTGCGATTCGATATCGACTATCACTATTTTTAAGTCGGGCCTGTCCCTCTGAAGCTTTACAAATAGTTTAAAATTAGTCTGGGGACGATGTTTCGACTATGTTTGGGTATGTTTTGAATATTTCCCGGATATGTTTCATTGTTCGTCCAGCCTGTCCCTCTACAGGAGGAATATTCAAAAATAGGCAAAGCAAAGAATGGGGACGATTCTTTTTTCAGAATTGCTCGACTATTTCTGGGCATGTGTTGGGTCTTTTTTTTCAACATTTTTACATTGAGTTCCCCTTCAGGAGGACGTGCCCAACCTGAGGCAAGGGCTCATGTCGCCTACTCCCATCCGATGCGATTAGATATCGACCACTGCACTATTTCCGATTCGATTCAATGTCGGACCCCGACTTGGGAGCCGTGTTCTCCATGGAGGTTTGCTAGCTTGCCGATGTCTGCCGGGTCGACTTTTCCCGACTCGGCTGTCGATTCCCGTCGATCCGCTTCATGTCGAGCGCCGATCCGAATTGTCGATCCGATTCTGGGCTCTCCTGCGGACGGCGCACACATCCGCCTCCACGGCCTCTCACGGTCCAGATTCGCGGTCGCGATCCCGCGGATGCGTGGTCGCACCGATCCGTCCCGCGCGGGGTGTCCGCTGAGGCACGCCCCGAATCCGCGGGGTCGCGCCCAAGCCCACGAGGCCGCGGATACGGATATTGTCTTCCGCTCACGGGGATCGGCGGTCGGGCGCGCTCCGCGCCGACACAGGACCTCCGCGCGGAGCTCCGAAGGTTTGTGCTTGTGTGCAGCTTGTTGTTCCTCGGTCGTCAAAGCTGCGGCTTTCAGCATCACGTCTTACGCTCCCCTGCACATCAATCCCGCGAGCCCCGCGGGTCTCGATGCGGGACACCCGCTCTGGGGGGTCGATTCCAGCTCGAGTCTTCTGCGGCCAGCTCAGCGAAACTCTCGTATCTACCAAGTGTACGAAGACGAGACGGAGAATGTGCTCGCTGCGCGCCTTGACTTTGTGCTCAAGCACCTCGGCGTCGACAGGATAGGGGTGCTTGAGCTCGACTGCGAAGGGGTTGAGCTGCGGGCCCTGGAGGGGGCTGGGGGTCTGCTCAATTCTGTGAATGTTGTCAAAATTGAGGGATACAGCGACAGTGCAGCGAAGTGGCGTCATGAGGGCATGGAGACCGCAAGGGAGAAGCGCAGATGGCTTATGTCACACAATTTCACGCTCCTCTTCGAGATCGGGGATGACGCTGTGTACCTTCGGACTGGACTTCTGCCATTCCTGCCAGTTCGTGGTCCATCTCCAGCTTCTCCGCGCAGGACACCTGCACGTGCCGGGAGCAGACGTCGGCAGCGCTGATGACGGGAGCAGCGCACTGTGGCGGCCGCTTCGCACCGACCTTTTACAATCCAGTGTGCACGTATGCGTTCACAAGGTGAAGTGGCACGCGTCCAGCTGCCCAGGGAGGAGGAGGAGGAGGAGGAGGAGGAGGAGGAAGAGGAGGAGGAGGAGGAGGAGGAGGAGGAAGAGGAGGAGGAGGAAGAGGAGGAGGAGGAGGAGGAGTGGGAGCAGGAGCAGGAGCAGGTGGTGGAGGAGGTTGAGTGGGTCTCGGCGCGCGCGTCGCCCCCGTTTGGGATGACGCACACGTGGTATTAGCATGTGTGGGTGGCACCGAACAAAATCCTTTCTGCGTTTCGCGTACCCCCGCAAACGATGCCCAGGCGAAGTGCTGTGCGAGAGGATGGAGAGAAGCAGCTCGTGAAGCAAAGATGCCAGTGCTGGCGAGAGTATTCGCCTCTTCGAGCCGCCTGGGAGCTTCATTGGGGTATCGGTGGAAGCACGTGACGCCTTCTTGGGGTTCTCTTGGGCCCCGCTTCGGGACTTCTGTGCCCTCTTGGGGCCATCCTGAAGACGATCGATCAAGCATTGTTCGAGCCTTCACAGCTGTCTCTGGGGCCCACTGTCTACGAACGCGCCCTCCGTGCGGTCAGCGAGCGCCGTACCGCGCTCGCTGACAGGAACTGCCGCGCTGGATCGTGGGGTTCTGCAGCTCCTTCGGTCGCGCACTGCAGAGCGATCTGAAACGTTGTGGCAGAGCGGTAGTTTCGGACGGGGCTAGGACGAGGATCGAACCCATTCCAGAGCGTTCCAGAACGCTCTCAGAGCGTGGCGGGACGTTATGGGAGGGCCGCGGCGCCCGAGACATATTCCAGAGCCGCCGGATCTAAGAGATTCTCGTTTTATCTTTGCCCGACTGTATATATGTATATATGTATATATATATATATATATACATATGTCTTGGCTTCGTCTTAAGTTGACATGCCGCTGCGTGATATGGCTAAAACACAGACCATGCCGAACATGGAGCTCTAGAGATTACAGAGCAAGGGATGGTGGCCTCGTTCGATCGGGTGTTTCGGGGCCAGGTTGCGCAGACGTCGGTTGCCGACGAAACTGTGTGATTCCAGAAGGCTGGAGGCGGCAGGAAACAGCGAGGACCGACAAGGGGGACCCTGACCCTTCGAGAGCTTCAACAGCAACCTATATTGACACGTCGCGCCTCATATCTAATGGTGCCAAGTTGAAGTCACATAGCCCCGTCACTTCGACGTGTTGCAGGAAAACGTTTTGCACGCCATCGAGCTGCATGGGTACAGAAGATGTCGCGTGAAACACTGGACTTGTTGCACCTTCAGGGTAAGGCAGCATGTGACATTTATACCGTCGAACCATTTCGAGTGTAAGATTTGAAGCGCCTGGTGCGCAGCGGCGCTTTTAGAATCTCAAAGAAGCCTCCACATAATATTCCTGAAAGGCGGAATCCATTGACTTTTTTGTATCCACGACACCGCCCAAATTGTGGAGTTCTCGCCGTGCGGCCGAACCTTGTTTAAGATAGGAATCGGATTGCTTTCCTCTCCCGCTTCGAACAGGAATGTTTTGCGGCGCCCCAGAAGGTACATGATATTGACCATGCTCACATGCATCCATGATTTCAGGATTTGTTGCGACAGCCTTCGTATATCCTCCAATAGCTGAGCTCATCAGCAAAAGTGAATTCTTGGAAGACAGCGTCGGTGACGGAGCGGCCCGCGTCAGTGTAGCACACGTTCCAGAACGGAGGGCCGATCACAGCACCTTAGATTCCAGCGGGGAGGCTTCGGATAAGACGCCACCGACGCAGACCCTGGCAGTGGGAGGCTCCAGCCAGGCAGGGGTTACTTTTGAGAGTCCGTCTGAAATGCGGGCGGCGCGGAGTTCCGCGAGAAGTCTAGAGGATCGTACCTTGTCAAAAACACCAGGTTCGTCGGGTGAGTAGTCTGCAACCCGGCAGCCTGCCCCGCTTGCCCATACCTAGTGGCACATTGTACAAGGTAAGGCGTCGCGATACCCCCGGCCACGGTGGTATGCGAATTGGTTACGACCGTATGCGCGTGGGGTGCATTCGGGAAACAGGAGAAGCTGGTTGGCAAATGCCCATTCGACCAACTTGTTGTTCTGAGACGTCAAACGAATACCCAGCTCATTTTCCGCATTCGACCTTGCAGTGCCTTTGAATAGGGGAAGAAGCAAGTGAAGCTTCCAAGGCGAAATTATGTACATATCATGTTGAAAACAAGGCGGGCAATCGAGGGAAGTTCTTCGGGCCCTTGGGCCCCCTCTTGGAGCTCTTGTGCGACGCTCTGTCTGCTCTTGAGCCGTTTTGAGGCCTCATAAGCTCAGCGGAAGCGGAAACGGTGACAAGGTACAAATCATTGAGAAGTTTCAGGTGTGTTCAAGGAGTTTGGCCTCCCAGGCGGCATCCTTGGCCGGCTCCGTCGCTGGCTTGGGTTGCCCTATGGCGATGCTTGGGCGTGTGAGAGGCTTGTTGGAGGCCTGTTTGGCCCATTTTGCGACAGATCGCGCCATGTTGGAGGCATTATTACAGTATCTCGGGCCATATTGCCATGTCCTTTACTTTCAATCCCTGCAGTAATGCCCTCCTCGCCGATCGGCGAGGGCTCCCGCCCTTCGCTCCCTGTAACCAGATGTTGGTTGCTTTTGGCGGCTGCTTCTGGCGACTGGCCCGGACCCCCTCGCCCCCAGTCTGCTTGCGCGACTGGTGAAAGCAATCGATTGGCAAAGGCATATCCAGACACCCCCTCCCCCACCCCTTCGGCCAAATGTCGAAACCCATGTTTTTTAAGCGCTTGAAGCAGCCGACCAATCTAGCACCCTGGTATGAATAGTTGTTTGTGTCGCGCCTGGTCATGGGGGATGACTTGAAGGGGGGGTGAGCTAATGTCGGGATCCCGCAAAAGGGGGGTGTGCCCCGGTGTGTGTGTGTGTGTGTGTGTGTGAGCGCGATCGGTTTTGTACCGAACCGCCGAAAACAGATGCCCCCCAGCCGCTGGCAGCTCCCGACAGTTGCCGATAGGTGGGGCATGCGGGGGGCATCTGTTTGCGGCAGTTCGGTGCACCAGTGGATCGAACTCATGCCCCCCCTCAGGGTCATTCCCCTTTTGGTGGATTCCGCAAAACGGTCCCGAAGGACCCCTTCAGCTTTATTTTCTCCACCCCCCAATTTATACCACCCGCCCGAGCCTCTTGGGGCTCCTCTGGGGCCCTCTTTGGGCTCGTTTGAGCGATCCTGGAGCCACCTTCAGGCCTCCGTCGGAAGCACATCGGAGCGAAACTGCGAGGAGGCACGGAGCGCTGAAAATCATTTGCGTGTTTGAGTAATTCGTCTTTGTCGGGTTTGTTCTGGAGAGGTTCCGCGGCCACTTGAGGCCGTATAGGACCCTTTGGGGGGTATGCTGGAGGCCATCGTGGCCCATCATGGGCTATGTTGTGACATCTTGGGGGCCCATCTTGGGCTGTCTTGGGCCATCTCGGACGCGCTGACTGCTCGCGGCCTCCCCCTATCCGGACCCACGGGATGGTGTTCTTGGGCACGGGAAAAACCCCTCCCCGATGAGCCAGACCCCCCTCGCGTCGGATGAACAAAGACGCGAGGGACGGCTTCTTCCGTCTTTCGGCTCGGGCCCTGGGACCGTCGAAGAGCGGGTCAGGATGAGAAGCCGGTCTTTGGGACGAGGTCCAGACATGCGTTTTATGCTGCAAGTTCGGCGGACTTCCGACGCATGTCCAAGCAGTTTCGACGCGAAGTCCATGTGGATTCTCGGATTCGACGCGGATCCGACGCGGATAGCGGCGAGATGGAACAGACAAGTCTTCCCGTCCCGAAGATGCAGCACCATTCTAGAGCCCACGCCACGCAACAGTCACGACGTCGACAGCCTGGGAGGCCGACGACGCCGACGCCGACGTCGACCGCGTGCGGCGTGCATCCCAGCGCGCGCGCGCGCGGCGCGCGCTCGCTCGCGCAATGCCAGGCTGGGGAGATGGCCGGGTGCGAGAGGAGCACCGAGAACCGCTTCCACCTGGTCCGGCCGCGGCGGCAGCGGCTCCGAGGGTGGACATGCATGTGTGGCGATGTGGTTCTGCCGGGGAGCCCTCGTCGCCACGGCCGCATTCCCCTCGGGATGCTGGGCAGCGCCGCCCCGGGAGGGATCTGGAGAGGAGCGGTATCGGTGCCTGTGTCGGGGGCGGGAAAGAGGGGGGTGATGACTCGGGGGGGGGATATCATCGCAGGGGTCATGATATTTCCCCAGATTTCACGGCGCCTCTTCTTATTTCGTTACGTCCCTGGCCCCCCCGCTGGGCCGCGCACATGCCGCCGGTCATGATTTGCACCCTCCCCTCTTGGACACCCCCCTCTTGGCCGCTCCCGGCTGTGTTCTGCACGGACGACATGGGTACGGAAAGAATGGGTACGGTTCCCAACAGCAGTTCCTGCTCGTTTTGAGCAGGACTCGCTGTTCCCCCCGATCGATGACGGCGGCGACGATCACGACGAGGACGGCGACGACCGCGGCCGCAGTGACGGCGGCGCAGGTCACCGGCATTGACGACGACGACCACGACAGCTGGCGACGGCGGCGGCGACGACGAGGCCGAGGGGGCACCTCAGGAGGGCCCCTGGAGGACACGGGAGCACCCCATCCCCTCGGGGTGGGAGGGGGTGGTGGGAGGGGGGAGGGGGTGGAGCGTGGGAGGGGGAGGAGGTTTTTGAAGGGGGAGGGGAGGAAAGGAGGGATGACGATGATGATGATGATGATGATGATGATGATGATGATGATGATGATGATGATGATGATGATGATGATGATGATGATGATGATGATGATGATGATGATGATGATGATGATGATGATGATGACGATGACGATGACGATGACGATGACGATGACGATGACGATGACGATGACGATGACGATGATGACGATGATGATGATGATGATGATGATGATGATGAGGAGGAGGAGGAGGAGGAGGAGCATGGAGGGTGGAGGAGCATGGAGGGCGGAGGAGAGGAGGTGCACACGGCAGGGGGAGGGGCGAGGGGAGGAGCGGGGGGGGGAGGGGCGGGAGAGCACGGCTTGGGAGCAGCGATTCGGGTGGGGTTTTTGAGTAGCGGGAGGAGCCCGCGAGGGAGCGCCCACGCCTGCGGTTCCGCGCGTGCGCGGGGCGCGCTTCCGAAGGAGGTCTGCGGCGGCGCCTTGGCCCCTCGCAGGTGGTCTGTCCAGCGTCGCCGTTCATTATCATTCAACCGACCCCCATCCCCATCCCCATCCCCTTCGAGACCCCCAGCAATGTACCCCCCCCAGTTGGGGATACACCCCTCGAAACCAGAAGGGAACGGTCTGTATCCCCATCTAGGGGGATAAATCGGCCAGTGGGGCCCAGCCCACGCAGGTGGGGATGGGGATGGGGATCAGTTTTCGAGCATCGAAGTTCGCGGTTCGAGCTTTCGGAGAGTTTTCGCAGGATCTCGGGAGGATTCCACCCTCGGGGAGCTCTCCAGCAGGCCTCGCCGACGGCGTTCCGGGGGTGCCCGGATCTTCCCGAACGACCGCCAAAAACCCGAGTTCTGGTCCAGAGTCAACTGGGATCGGCGTGGGGGTTGCTAACGGAATAGGGGCTGTTTTGTTTCGGTGGATGGCAAGGTGGGCTGTATCTGGCCTGACCTAGCTTCTCAGTGAATTGCAACTGCCCCCAGGAGGCTCAGGGGGATCAGACGAGGCTCAGGGGGATCAGACACCTCCGCTAAGCGGGCGGAGCTCGCTTAGCCTGGATCGTCACCTCCCCAAGTGACTCGGGGCAAGCGCTAGGCTAGGCAGGTCCAATCCACCTTGGCATGCATTGACACCCCCCTCCGCGCCGCTCCCAGTAGGATGCAATGCCTAGGAGGTAAGATTGCGAAGGCCTTACGGCCGGTGCCGCCGACCCTACAGCAGGAGACGACGAGTAGGACAAGGACGTTGAGGAGCAGGAGGCGCAGGACGTCAGGGAGCAGGAGGGGGGTGTGCTGAGTGTGCTGACTACATGGGGCAGGGCCCCCTCTCCGCAGAGCGTCAGGCCTACCATTCGGCAGGCTCCTCATAAAACTCGGGCTCCCCCCTCCCCAGGGACCTGGAAAAGTCCACCACGGCTGAGGGGGAATCAAAACCGTGCAACAAAGCGACCTGCCTGTCGTCTAGCTGCGGCACGTTGGTGCCGTACTTGACCTCTAAGGCCGTAGGAGCATGCATCGACTGAGCGTCCCCACTTCCTGCCTCCTGCCCCCACGCGCCTCCAGCGAGGGAGGGGAAGCGGGAGGCCCAGGCCACGAAGTCGTCGCCTGTGGGGGCGCGGACGTCCACGATCCGAGCCCTCGGCGGAGAAGGGAACGCTGAGTCCGCAGACCAGGGGCCCCCCTCCCACGACACACCCCGTCCAGCCCCTCACCCGACCGAACAATCTTGTGCACCGAGGACCGACAAATTTTACAAAATAAAACATCAGGCACGGGCTCGGGAGCAGGAGGGGGGAGGAGGAGGAGGAGGAGGAGGAGGAGGAGGAGGAGGAGGAGGAGGAGGAGGAGGAGGAAGGAAGGAAAGGAGAGGAGGAGGAGGAGGAGGAGGGGAGGAGGAGGAGGGAGGAGGAGGAGGAGGAGGAGGAGGAGGAGGAGGAGGAGGAGGAGGAGGAGGAGGAGGAGGAGGAGGAGAGGGGTCTTGGAGGGTCCCGGGGCCCTCGGAATTCTGGGTCCCGGGGTGTCCCGTGGCCGAGCGTCCAGGAGGCCGGTTCGGTTCTGGAGGGGGACGGAGGAAAGAGGAGAGGGGAGGATGGAGGGAGGAGGGGGGAGGGAGGAGAGGGCGTTGCCCCACCCGTGGACCCCCCCCCGGGACTCCCCCCGGGACACCCACCGGGACCTCCCCCGCCCCCCCCCCCACGGGGCAGGGGAGGGATCAAAGGGAAGGGGCTTCCCTTCGACTCCCTGACAACGTTGCTCTTGCGGGGGAGGCCCTGGGGAAGCGGAGGGGGGAGCGGCGACGGGGCCAGGGAAGAGGGGGAAAGGGGGCCCAGGGAAAGGGGGAGCGCAGGGACAGGAGACGACAGGCCCAGGGAAAGGGTGGGCGCAGGGACAGGAGACGACGGAGACGACGACGAACGAACGACGGGAACGGACAAGCCCCTCACACACGCCGACACAGGGTCGGCGGATTTTGCATCGGCGCTGACATATCCGCTGCCGAAGGCCAGCCTAATCTGGCACAGTCCCGCGGACTCCTGTTTTGTCCGGCTTAATCTTGTTTGACAGTCTGCTTCCGGTGGCCTTTCCAGCTCAGCGGCCCCGCAGGCGGATTTTTTGAGCCCGCGCCGTTCTTGCGAAAACCTCTCAGCTGATGCCTCCTGAGAGTCGAAGGACGAAAAGGTTGCATAAGCATAAGCATGTAGAGCTCTGCTCGGGTCTCTTGGATCGGCTCTGGATCCCGTCTCCCTGGCGCGCAGACACCGCCAGAGGGTGGTGCCGGACCTGGGGGAGGGATCAGGACCGATCCGAGAAATCCGCCGGAGGAACTCTCGAGAAGGGAGCTCTCTGCTTGGGAGCAACTTGTAAGGAAGTCGTGCGGCAGTCTCAGGATGGAAGCCCCTTTTTTCCCATGGGGCCGCCAGATTATGTAATCATCTCGAGCTTGTCAGTTCAATCCTGTAAGTATCTTCGTTCTTGGGCTGCTGAGGCGTGGATATGGAGGACGTCTCGAGGGAGAGCTTCGTTCGTGAGCAACTTGTAATGAAAGGTCAGGCGGGGGGCCCTCCTTTTAGGGCCGCCAAATCACGTTAGCAATCCGAGTGGGTCATCCCGTTCTTGTCACTGTCGTCACTCCTTTGGTTGCCTGAGGCGTGGACGTGGAGTATCCGGAGCCTCGCGTGTGAACCATCGCTGGGAAGTCTCAGGTGCGAGCCCCATTCTTGTGCGGCCGCCAGGCTACGTCAGTAATCCGACCAGGTCATCTAAATGTTGTAGCAGTCATCGTCTTGCGGATCTTGAAGCGTGGATATAGAGGAAGTGTGTCTCCGTGTGCGGGTGAATCGTGAGGACGCCTCGGGCGACACCTCCTCCATATTTTGCCGACGGATCATGCTAGCCATCAGAGCGGGTCATTCAATGTTTTTTCTCACTTGTCACATTGGGTTTCTTTTGGCGTGGAACTGGATGAAACCTCGAGGGGAGTTTCGTCTCTGAGCATCTGGTAAGGCAGTCTCGAGCTGGAACCCCGTGCCCATGGGGCCCGCCCCTCGAATGGCGCGCGCCAGGCGAGCCCATCCTACCGCAGGGAGTCCTGATGCCAGCGCGCGGCTTCAGGGAGCGCCCGATCTACCAGGAGGTCGATGCCACCGAACTGCTGCGATAGGGTGCCGAAGCCATTGACGACGTCGGCCAGGCCGAAACGCTGGCGCGGAGTTTGCTTAAGGTTCAGGCCCATCGACAAGGACCTCAAGAGGCAGAGCTCAGGGCCGCACGACGTGCGCCGATCGGGGTTCACCCTGACGCACGCGTCCTACCTGACCTCCACGCTGTTGCAAGGCCGCCACAATCGACTGCGCTGGGGGTGAGGACGCTGGTCGCGCGGGTGTGTCGGACGAGCAATGGTGGCTGCACCTCCACGTCATGCTTTCTCACGCCACACGCATACGGAACATGCTGATCCTGCGGTCGCCCTCGCGCGGGCTCCTGGTGCGCAGGCTGCAGGCGTCCTTGCGGGCAGCGTTCGGGGAGCTCGACGAGAAAGCGGCGAACTCCCGGGCCGAGACCGAGCAGCTCGCCGCAGAGTTTGGCTTCGCGCTGCCCCCCGCCCGAACGCGGCCGCGCCGCGCTCGCAGCCCGCGGGGATGTCCCAACGGCTTGGATTCGCGCGCCGACGGCCTGCGGGTTTACCCCACTAGCGCGGCACATGAGGACGCCCGTGCCGCCCGAAGCGGCGACGGCGCCAAGGCAAATCGACGCGCTCGCCGTTGCAACAAAACGGGGGGGGGGAGGGGGAAGAAAGGCAGGAGGGCG